GTGGCGATCCAGCGCGCAACCGGCCAGTCTATCGTCAGCCCGACAGGACTTTCCGACTCGCTTCAAACACTCTGCCTAGCCATTGCTTCCCGGAAGCTGGCTTGAGAGTTGAGAACGTAAAAGAGATTTGCGGACGCGCTTGCGGGTTTTATAGTTGCGACAGGGGAGATAGAAGGGTGAGAAGGCGACGGGAAGGCTGAGGTGTAAGAGGAGAAGCAGAAGGAAAAGACTTTGAGAGGAGTGCTCTACGAACGCCATGTTGATCCCTCGAAACTCAAGGTTCAACCAATCAGATTCGCCGCGCAATAAAAAGGTCCTATTGATCCGCGCACCTGATTGACGATCGGGAGTTATCGATGGATCGACCGGGCGTCGTGCGCCAGACTCAGAGGGTGAGAAGAAAAAAGGCGCGAGAAGTAGCGCAAGACGGGTCCAAGATTCTGATGATCAAGAAAGGGAAATGGACGTGCAAAAAGCAAGGCGGGAGAGAGAGAGAGGGAGGAGGAAAACAGTTATGGGAAGAGAGAAAAAGGAGGGAGAAGGGAAGGGAGGCGCGGAAGGGAGCGATGCGGGGGACAGAGAGGAGAAAGTTCGGCATACGCGGCGTCGTCAACAAAAAGAGAAAAAAAGGGCACCGAAACAGTTACAACTTGCTTCTGTCCTAATTCAAAATTGAAATCACCATATCCGCGCGCGAAAAGGCGACGCGGGAAAGAAAAATTCTACGCTTATTCGTATTCGTGCAAAATTCTGAGAGTTTTTTCCGACGCGACCAAGAACATTCACACATACGAAAAGGACGCGTCGAAGTTCCGCTTATCCTGGAATTCCCAACCGGCGAGCCCAATTCCCCGTGCGCTCGCTAAGCCGCACGTAAATTCCCATGTATTTCACGACTTGCAAAAAGGAGAAACAGAACCCGGAAATCGAAAAAAGTTTCCAAAAAAAAAAGGAAATGCAGCATCCGAAAACATGGAACCGAAAAGGGGTTCTTAATGAGTTTGATATGGTACATAAACAGGGTTACGAAAGATAGCATGGGTTCGGGAAGTGGTTCGTCACATGCCCCCTACTCGCCCTACCCCCCGTGCTCTGAGTGCCTGCAAGACCACGATTACCGAACATCCGGCTTCATCCGGCGAACTCGCTCGGAAGAAGAACGACGGGAGCACAGCCTTCCGTTGAGACTGGTCGTGTCCGACTCAGAGACCTGTGGCATCCGACGTCGACAGATGTTAAACCAGCGAGATAGTCATATCGTCCCTTCGGTACACCGGATACGGATCCGCCCCAGACGACGGGCCCAACGGAGGTTATGGCCCCGCTCCCCGAAGCCTAAAACAAGACCCCGTTCCTCGCTTACCTTGGAACTGTATTCGTTATGTATGTATTAATTTTGGAAGAATTTATATAGCATATATAATTTACGGGATAAGTTCAGATATAATAGGATTTAGTATGCGCGTCAGTCGAGTCGACCTGAATTGTAAGTCGGTCCGGGAGATCAGCACCCCGATGCCCGACACGTAAACGGGTCAGTCTTAGGCGTTCAACCGCGCATATACCTATACTACGGCGATCGATAAAACGCCCTCGGCCGACCTACCTCTACAAAGGCATGTAAAAGCCTTCGCATGTGGGCCGGTAGCTCAGCAGGGATACGCTTACCAGAGGGTGGTGACAGCCCCCCGGGTAGAGGTTAGTTGTACCTTGCGACGTCCCGACCTGTCGTGGGGCGTCGTGAGAACTGGTTGTTCTTCAAAGATAAAAGTCAGAGCAGATGAAGATGTCCGCCACGGATACTACAGTGTTGCCAGTCTCTCTTGATGTGCTCACTCACTTCTTGGCTCTAGTCTCCAAGTAGGTTATAGCACGAGCTTCCAAAGGGTACGAGTAAGACAATTCGCAAAGATGCCGAAGACAAAGCAGTATGTTCCCACAGTCCAAGAAAAATCCTCAAAGCAATTATGAGAAAAGAATCCACAGACCTCAGGACCAGCACTTGAGGGGAGGTCCCACTAGCAAAGAGGATTGGATTTAATGCCTGAATCTGGACGTACTTGGGGAAAGGTGCAGAAAATCTGCTTTTCTGCATTTCTGGATAAAACACATCCAGATTCAGGCGCTCAATCCAATCCTCTTTGCTTGTGGGACCTCGCCCCTGCAGGCAACCAGGGGCCTGGTCCCACCAGCAAAGAGGATTGGATTTAATTTCGGAATTCGGATGTTTTTGTGGAGAGATGCAGAAAAGCAGATTAATCATAACTTTCTGGATCTCTTGGCAAACACGTCCAGATTCAGGAATAAAATCCAATCCTTTTTGCTAATGGGACCAGGCCCCGGAACCGAAGTCTACATCCCCAATGGCACACAAGGACCCTACTCGAAGGAAACCTCCAACAGAATGACGACTGGGCGTTCTATTCGTCTAAAACGCCCGGGGGCGTGGTCCCACTAGCAAAGAGGATCGGATAAAAATCCTGATCTGGCCATGTTGTATGCAGAGATACAGAAAAGCAGTTCGGTCTCGAATTCCTCCTCCTGTCCTCGAACACGTCCAGATTCAAGCATTCAATCCGATGCTCTCTTGCTAATGGGACCACGGCCCGGGGCGAGGAGGTAGTGTGAATACGCGCTGACGCGGGTGTCTGTTCGAACAAAATCTTGTTCAAACCCGCAGTAGGAGCGGTCTATTTATTTATTTATTTCTATTCTTTTTGAAACGTCTCACTACTGCTCTTCCTTTGAAACGCCTGACCATTGCGTCAATGCCCTCTAGCTCCGATTGCCGCCAAATGCGGACGGACAGAAGAGCTTATGCCTATTGTACGGACACTCATCGCCATCGGGGATGAATGGCAGCGAGGGCAGGTGGTGAAAGCGGGATCTCTCGTCCCAGCAGGAAAGGAAGGCAGGTGTGCGAGTGGATCTTGTGCGCTCCTCCATCGCGGGACGTACATCCATATCCATCCGGCCGATCTTGCCAGATCTCGGTATGTCTGCTTGTGTGAATTCTCCCTCCCCATGTCTTCTGTTTCTCTGCTGATCCTTGTCCTCTCTCTCTCTCTCTCTCTCTCTCTCTCTCTCTCTCTCTCTCTCTCTCTCTCTCTCTCTCTCTCTCTCTCCCGCCTGATTTCCTCCTTTGCTGTGGTCATCGCCTCGTATTCTCCTTGTTCTTGTGGCGGCCCTACGCCATTCTCCTCAATCATAGCTCCTGCGCCCTTCGCGCTTGGTTCTGCATCTGTCAGAGCGTAGTCACAGTCGGAACTCAGTCGAAACGAAAGTGCCCCTGTGAACATGCCCTCCGTCTGTTTCTCTTGCATTGTTCCGTCAACCCCTTCTCGTCCTCCTCGCGGACTTCTCGCTATGTCTGGGGGTGCCCTCAACATGGCAGTCGCATCTTTCGTCCATCTCCTCCTCCTCTTACTCCTCCTCCTCCTCCTCCTCTTACTCCCCCTCCTCCTCCTCCTCTTTCAGTTCCATCCACTGCAGCAACGGAGGAGGAAGAAAGGTGTGAAGGGGCATTACCTCTCCCGCATTGTCGTTGTCGTTGTTGTTGTTGTTGTTGTTGTTGTTGTTGTTGTTGTTGTTTTCAAGAGAAAAACCTCTAGGCTACTGTGATGACGTATACGTCGCTGGGGTCATGGGAAAGGTGTGCTACCATGAACGTGAGGGTTTAGGCTTTTACTCAATTGACCAACTGATCCTTCCGGACCCTCTTCTCTGTCCTCCTCCCTCATGCCCCTCCTCTGTTCATATGCTATATATATTCCTTCGTCTCTCGTTCTCTCTTGTGTCCCCTTGTTTCTTTTGTTTGTTTTTTGGCAATCTTTTCAATTCGTTTTTTCTTGCCTTTCATTCCCGTCTTTTTCATCTTGGCTAGCGGCTTGTGTGCGGATCCGTCCTTTGTTTTCGACGTTGCTGCCTAATTTCGGCCGCATTCACCTCTTCTCCTCCTTCTCCTCCTCCTCCACCTCCACCTTCTCCTTCTCTTTGAGCTATGTTCAGGTCCGAGCAGGTGTTATGAAGACTCTGTTTCCTTGGTTGGATTGCTAGCGATTGGCCTCGCTATTCTCATTTCTCATTCCTTTTCCCTCCTTATTCTTTTCCTGTTTTCTTTCTTATTGTCCCTGAGGAGTGCGTGGTGCGCTACGTAGCGAAAACGCGTCAGGCGATGTCCGTGTTCTTTCTGAGTTCAGTGCATGCGGAGATGAGTGAAAATACTGTAGTATGTTTTGAAGCACGTGCGGAAGACAGTGTTTCGCCCTTCGGGGCATCCGTTTAAATTGGAACGATACGGAGAGAGAGAAGATTAGCATGGCCCATGCGAAAGGATGGCAAGCATGAATCGAGAAATGGCCCAAATAAAAGAAGAAGAAGAATGCATCCGTACGCTTCTCGTGACGATCCCAAGAATCAAACACTCGTCCTCCCGGTCAGGAGGCTGGCACTCAACCAAACGGCTAAGTGGACTGGGGTGGGAAGAAGCAGAACAAGAAGAAGGAGAAGATGTGTTTGGCCTCTGTTCTTCTTGTTCTTTGTTATTGTTGTTGTCCTCCTTTTTCTCCTTGGAAGCCTACGTTGTGCCGCAAGGCGATCTTGGGAGAAGCCCCCTGCGGCGTGCCAGGAGCGCAGCCTGGCCGAAACGCCTCGGGAAATGTGCGCGTTTCAACTGAGAACAGTACATGCGGATGCGATGCTTATCCATTGTCCCATGTGCGAGAAACAGTCTATGGCCACTGTTTTCACTATTTTTCTTCTTCCTCTTCTTCGTCTTCTTCTTCTTCTTCTTCTTCTTCTTCTTCTTCTTCTTCTTCTTCTCTGCCGCCGTCCCGGGCAAGACCGGCATTTTCAGGACTGCCTACACATCGGCCATCCTGTTAATCATCGTGTAAAGGACGGAGGGAAGAAAATCAGCGGGCCCAGGGTGGGGTGAAGGCGGGGATAATCAATTGCCTGCCTCCCCGCGCGCTTGGTCCCCGTTAGGAAGTTATGAAGGAAAGGAACAAATGAATGGGTAGCCAATCAACGGTACCTCTACTAGACAATATCTTTACTTCTTCTCTCTCCTCTTCTCTCTCTCTTCTCCTCTCTCGGTTCGTCCCCTGCGCGTTCATGAGCTATGCTGATGTCCATGCAGGTGCTTTGTTGATTTCAAGGTAAGCGTGGATACGAGGCATTCGGATTGACTATAGTGGTTCTCTCTTCTTCTCCTCTTGATACTTCTCTCCGCTCTTCCCTCGCTTCTTATCTCTGT